TCAGATCAAGGCCTCTCCATTTGGAAGGCAAATCTCTAGCAACCCTTGTTCCCCCAGGGATTTTTTAATCCCTTCAAATAATTCACGTTTCTATTAATATTCTAGGATTATTCAGAGTTAGGAGAATAAGAACTAGTTTGTTTCCTCAAAGGTTCTTCAAGATTCTAGGACCAATCCAAGAGCCAATGTACCCTAGAACTTCCCCTCTTGCAGCATCAAAGAGGGGAGTCAGTAAAAACACAAATCAAATTTAAAGTATAAAAATGTGGTAAGAGGGAAAGAAGCTTTTAACAAGATAAAAGGTAAGGGTTAAACAAAGTTCATTTTCAGGTCAATATCACAGATGGTTCCTTTCAAAGAGCAGAGGATATATATCCCTAGAAAGCAGCAAGCTCAAAAGAGATGGTGGATAGAGCTTTTGACTACTGCCACTAATCTCACTTGCATCTAAAAAAAATCTTAAACCCAAATATCTGCTGGAGGGGATAGGGTCCCATTCCAGCTCACTTTAGGCCAAGTGAAAAATAAAATATTATCAAAAATAAAAAGTTTTAATAGCTAACAGACAATAGTCAATACATGCAAGGACTCTATATACATGAGTGTACACACACACACACACACACACACACTCATCCAATTATTAAAACAACCAAATGAAGTGGGTACTAACAAAATCTCCCATTTTATAGATGAGGACATTGAAATATGATATTTAAATGAACTTGCTGTAGTCCCCTCGCTACTAAGAGATAGAACCTGGTACTAGAATCTAGTCAGTACAGCTCTCAAGTCATAATCTCAATTCTTATACCATACTGTCTCTCAAAACACATCCTACAATACAGAGCTAGCCCACATTCTACATTCTTATCCCTCTTTATTCACGTCCTTAGTAGTTGTAATACTTATTAGAGCCTTAGGAATGTTTTACTAAATCCATCAGGACCCAAAGCACAACCTCCCCTTTCTCTTCCACATCGTCCCCAAGATGCTTGAATGCAATGGCTAGGATAGGCAGAGTCCATAGAAACATGTTCACAGGGTTACTCAGAAACTTGTAAGATAATCACAAACTTGTGTTTATCTGTACTATGTGAATCATATCTGATGATCTGGTCTATTTTGTTAAATGAATTACTTCTTGATTTGGTGATGTAGTTGAAAGGGGTACATATAAGAATGACTTTGGGTGAAAGAAGGGGTGGGAAATGAAATGGAATAATAACCAAGATAACAAATAGTCTTTTACCTATACTTCAAATGGCCATCTGACAGAGTTTGGATCTGTGTTCCCATCAAATCTCATGTTGAATAATAATCCCCAGTACTGGAGATAGGGTCTGGTGGGAGGTGACTGGATCATGAGGGCAGAGTTCTCATGAATGGGTTAGCACCATCCCCTTTGTGTTGTTCTCACAATACAAGTAAGCTCTCCTGAGATACAGTTATTTAAGAGTGTGTAGCATCTCCCTCCTCTCTCTATTCCTCCTGCTCCAGCCATGTATGAAGTGCCTGTCTCCCCTTTCACCACGATTTTAAGTTTCCTGAGGCCTCCTCAGAAGGCAAGCAGATGCTAGGATCATGCTTTCTGTACAGCCTGCAGATCCATGAGCCAACTTAACCTCTGTTCTTTATAAATTATTCAGTATCAGGTATTTCTTCACAGCTGTGGGAGAATGCACTAATACACCATCACAAACATCACCTCCTCCAGGCCTTCTGCTTTGAAGAACCTAAGTAATACCCTATCACTGGTTGTCTGCTGATATCTAACTTATTTCACTTGTATTACAGATATCCATATCTTATACTCTAAGCACCTTGTAGGGGCAAAAAGTCAAATATTGTTATTTGAGTAAGCAACAAAAACTGCAATGGAATTGTAAACTAAAAAGACGACCCAACATATCAGCTATCCCTTCAATACAGTATAAGGCAAATTCAGAAGCAAAATACTAATTAAATTCTCTGAATTATAGAAGTGTACATAAGCTTCTCATTTTTCATACATTTAAATATGTCAAAGTCTTTTTTTCTTAACCATTTTTGTTCAGAAAACAAAAAAAAAATTCAGAATTTGGCTTATACTTTGATTTCAACATAGAATAACTGTCCATTTTAAGGAGAAAGACCCTCCAATGTTTCTCAGTAGTCTGTGACCTCTGAGGACAGGTGCCCATTTGGTTTCAGCATCTTCTCCAAGACCCACAACACCAGGTAAACACACAGCAGACCTTCAAGAAAGTTCCCAACTACAGAAAAGCACTGAACAACAGACATAAAAGCCCAAATGTTACTTACGGCCCAAAGAAACTTGGAGAGACATAAATCCAAATATTATTTTTGATTGAAATTAATCTAAAAGTATCAAGGAAAATATGTAAGAATAAAAGCCTCAGCTTAATCTATGTAACTCTAAGCATTTTTTTATATTGAATCTAGCAGTTCTATATATGATTATAAGGAAAACTAATAAAGGTCATAATTTTCCCTTTTATCTCACAAAAAATAAACTGAATGTCATTCATGAGTATGATGCGAACATTGGAAAGGTGGCAAAGAAAGAGAGAATGACCAGGATATTAAAAAACCTGTAAGATGACACCAAAGCTTTAAAAGTTCCTATGTATATATGTATGTGTATATATATGAATCTGTGTGGCACATATATAACAAAATTTCCCCCCAAAATTCTAGTACATACTCCACCCAATAATTTATCTCGGCAGAAAATCCGAGGTAGCTAACCTGAGAAAGATAATGAGAAAAAAGAAAAAAAAAAAAAGACACGAAAAGAAAAACAGAAAGCCAAAGAGAAAGGAAAAGACAGAAATAAAAAGAAACTGGGAGAAAGGGAGGGCAAGAAGAAGAAAGGGAGGAAAGGGAAGGAAAAATGAATAGCAAATAGAATAGAGAAATGAAACAAATGCAGTTTAAAGAAAACCTTTTTTCTTTCTTTCTTTCTTTATTTTTTTTTTTGGCAGAGTCTTGCTGTGATGCCCAGGCTGGAGTGCAATGGCATGATCTCGGCTCATTGCAACCTCTGCCTCCCGGATTCGGGCAATTCTCCTGCCTCAGGCTCCTGAGTAGCTGGGATTACAGGCATGTGCCATCATGCTTGGCTAATTTTTGTATTTTTAGTAGGATGGTGTTTCACCATGTTGGCCAGGCTGGTCTGGAACTCCTGACCTTGGGTAAACCAGCCGACTCAGCCTCCCAAAGTGGTGGGACTGCAGGCATGAGGCACTGTGCCTGGCCAAGAAAACCTTTCCCTACTGACATTTTCAATAAAATCCATTCCTACTGAAATGGAAAATAATCTTGGGTGAGTGAGCGCCTGGGATTCGTTATGAAAGAGAATGAACATTTCACCTGACAGTTTCCACGCTAACCACCAACATTTTCAGTATCATTTCACTATCATCTTCTCACAATTGAAAAAAGAATAATACATATTTTCCCCTAAGGCTTATAAACATAATCTCATTGCACAACAGCAACAAATCTTCTGGCAAATTCTTGGTAGAGGAAGTCAAAGAACACGTGTTTACTCAAGGTAAACAGCAGCCACTGGACTGTGTATCAACCATACATTGTTTAATATAGCTCCACCAAACATGCCCTAAATTTACCCAGTAATTCGCCAACAGTCATGCAGGTTACCATAAGCCTACCACTAAATTCTAAAAGCTTCACTATGAAAATCTTCCTGTCAACTTTCATTTCTGACACAAGTTGATAAAAATCTCACAAATCCTCTCTTGGAGAGACTCCAGTATTTTCCATGCAAATACCACTAGACTGAAAAAAAAGCCTTAGATTCATAACACCATATGGATTCAATGAAAGACATAAAACATCTTTATCACGTCACAATCCTGCACCTTTCGTCTCCTGCTCCTATTTGGAATTATACCTTCAGCAATGGCAGCATTTGCTCTACAAAGAAACAACCTAAAAAATGCCTTCTTTACTCAGTAAATTGAAGCTACTTTTCTTCCTGCTTTTCTCATAATTTTTTGTAATGTGCTGCAAATAAAGTCTGTAAGAATAAGAATGTGATAATACCACACTGTAATGCCTTTTTCATTTTCCATAGTAGATATGTCTTTCCAAATCTGGCAGAACTCTATTCTATGAAGCTTAAAAGTTACATAAAACCTAACAAAGGATTTCTCTTTCAACATTTCCATATCATATCATACATTTCCATACCATAGCTGATTCGAATGTCACCTTTCTTGAAAATTCACTTAAAGAAATCAATTCCAAAAGAAACCTATATGTGTGCTAAGTTTTTTAAAAGGCTAGAATCAAATAGAGATCTGTAACAATCACATTCTCAATGCACATATCTTACCCCACAATTCCTAAAATATTCATATGATCATTATTGTGTATTCAATCAAATGCCCATCTCATTTACAATGCTGTAGAATGTATGAATTCCAAAGTTGATTTTGTCTCCTTAAGAACAATCTGATGATGGGGGAAAACATGCTGATTGTTACCAATAATAAAGCCGAGTGCAAGTAATTCAGGCACTCTACAATTACTCGGAATTTAATTTACTCTATTTCCAGAGACAACCTGAGTGGCTTTGTGACTAGGGATTGAACACAGTTGGACCTGCTCCCATTATAGCCTGTAAATGCTTTTTTGTTTCCACAGAGCATATACATTTGTGACCTTTCTCAAGTTTTGATAGCCTATTTACACACAAATCAAACCAAAACTGCCACTCACTATTTATATCACCAACCATTCCACATTTGCTTATCTCAGTATTACTGATTTATAACGCAGACTTGTAGAAATTATCAACTTAAGGTACTTTGTAGTATGAAGCATCAAGGACAAGGCTTAACAGAGACATCACCAATAAAACCAAAAGCAAAAAGCAAAACACTTAAGTGATCCTTAGCCTACTAAGGATTATGCCATAAGCAGTAATAGAAACATAAGCATACATTGAAAGCCAATAGTTCCACGCTTACTTTCAGCAGATCCTTGGAGAAATCAACACCCTCGTTTACCCCTTGCAGATTTGCAATGAACTCCTGACAGGTCATCTTCTTTCCAATATTCTGAAATAGAGGCAAACAGTACATCACAATGATATTCACAGAATTAAGGCTGATTAATAAATGTGTGATGAGGTAGAGCAATAATTTGTTTTTACAAACATAACTAGACATGTATTTAACAAACACAGGGCTGGCCACAGCAGCTCGTGGCTCACGTCTGTAATCGTAGCACTTTGGGAGGCCGAGACAGGTGGATTATTTGAGGTCAGGAGTTTGAGACCAGTCTGGCCAACATGGCAAAACCCTGTCTCTACTAAAAATACAAAAATTAGCTGGACATGGTGGCGCACGCCTGTAGTCCCAGCTACTCTGGAGGCTAAGGCAGAAGTAGCTGATTCTCTCGTCAAGCTGAGAATTGCTTGAACGTGGGAGGCAGAGGTTGCTGTGAGTTGAGATTGCACTACTGCACTCCAGCTTGGGCAACAGAATGAAACTGTATCTCAAAAAACAAAAACAAACCAAACACAGGTGTATATAAACATACATACAATTTTAGTGCACTAAAACATGGTTTCTTGTGCTTTAAAAATTCTCATTAAATATAAATAGAAAACTCATACCAAAAACTTATTAGAATGGAGAAAAAAATTTGAAAAACTGATGCTACATTTATACAATATATAACTTTTAATGAAAAGCATGGATAAAAACAGACATTTCTGAGTTGAACTCAGATAGCTGTTCATGCATTTATTTGCATTTCCTACATACTGTCAAAACCTGTGAAGGATCTGAGATTTACACTACTTTCAAGCTAACAAGTTAGCCTGTCACAATCTAATAAATGCTGGCAGAGGAAATAAGATTCATGGGTGAGAGACAAGGTATTTGCTACTCACAATAACAGGAGTAGCCAGAATACCAACATTATCTTGTGACCACAGGGCTCTAGTTCCCCAAGCCCCAACTGTCCCAGAGCAACTTGAATAGGGCCACATATCACCTGCACAGGCAATGTGTTGCATTATAGGAGAGAAACCCTCAACTTCAGGAGCTGGAATCTTTAATCACGGACAATATGCCAATCCCTTTGCACTAATGAAAGATACCAACTCTACCTTTCAAGGAGATATACAAACTTGACCACTGCTGTGAAGTCACTACAGCATCTTCCAAAGCTACTCACTGTATATAGAAATAATCTTGAAAAGATAGACAAGAACAGAGGTAGTCAGAGCCTCTGTTCACACAAAGAAACATGAGACCCATGGAAAATTATCTCCCAGCACATCTCCAAGCTGGTTTAAAGACAATACAGTTTAACAAAAGCAAAGTGCATTAATGAATTAGAAAATCTAAACTACCAAAAGAGCGAAGATACAAACATACTAAGAAAACCAAAAAAACAAAACTAAGAAAACAAAATTGCCATCACAGAGAACCATTTCTTATTCTAGCTCCAATCAACTACAAGAGGCTGCCAGCTGTGGAGGATTCTTAGGTTCCATACAGACAGCGAGATACATCTGTCACAAATGCAGGAGAGGAACAAACACAGAGCACAGTCTAGTGTCACAAGGATCATCTCTGGCAAAACATAGTCCAAGTGAATACAAAGTGCACCAACATCTAAATATACCTGAATACACTACTACTATGCATAAATGTATGCTTTTCAAGGCTATTCTATTTATTCACAAAAGACTAACAGTAGGGTAGAACAGCACCTACTGAATTCATTTCAATCCCTACAGTATTCAAAATGAGAAAACAGAGTTCTAGAGATAGACTTTAAAAAAGTGACAGAGCCTGGGCATGGTGGCTCATGCCTGTAATCCCAGCACTTTGGGAGGCTGAGGCGAGCAGCTCACTTGAGGTCAGGAGATCGAGACCAAACTGGCCAACATAGTAGAACACAGGGAAATTCTGGGCAGAAGAGGATGGATTCCCCAGTGAGGGCTCCACCCTCATGCTGAAAAGCCTGACATACTGGCCCAAAGTGAGAACTTACATCTATGATTTCCTGCTCAAATGTTGCCTTTTCTAAAACCACCCATGGCCCACTCTGCCCCCAATTCTTGTGCTCATTAAAAAAACCCAGGCTCAGCCAGGAGAGAGAGCAGAAGCAGCTGGACATGGGAGACTACAGTTGGATGTCAGAGAGAAGTGGTTTGACTTGAGAGGAAGAGCTTGACAGCATAACTCTGGAGAAGAATATGGCCAGAGACAGCCAGACTTCAGCAGAGTTTATCCTTCCACTCCATCCCATTTTAAGCTCCCCTTCCTGCTGAGAGCCACTTCCATCAGCAATACAATTTCCTGAATTTATCATCCTCCAATTTGTTTATGCAACCTCATTTTTCCTGGATGCTGGACAAGAGCTTGGGTGCCACAAACGTGGTTGCAAAAGGCTGTCACACTGACCCTTTGCCCTTGTTGGCAGAGGGCAGCCACCTCACACAAAAATGCAGAGGGTCCACTGTGCTGTTTGAAGCACAAAAAGTGTTTAGGGTAAGGGTTAGGGTTAACACAAAAGTTTTAATTGGCTGAAACACAGTTTATCTATGTTTTATTTTGTTACTTGAGCATTTTGTATCTAAGAAATCATTGCCTAATCCAACATCGCAAAGATTTACTCCCAATAATTTTGCAGCCTTAGGTCTTGTATTTAGATATTTGACCCATTTTGAGTTCATTTTCGTATATAATAGAAAGCAGAGATTTGACTGCATTCTTTTACATGTGGATATTCAATTGATTTAACACCATTTATTGGAAAGACTATTTTTTCCCTACCAAATTGTTTTGAAACTTTTTGAAATCAACAGACCATAAATGTAAGGGATTATTTTTAGACACTTGATTATACTGCAATGATCCAGCTGTTGAGCTTTATACAAGCATAACTCTTGATTACTGAAGCTTTGCACTGAGTTTACCATCTTAACACTTTTAAGCATACAGTTTAGTACTGTTTCATATTAGTACAGTCACACTGCTGTGGAACAGAATTTCAAAACTTTTTCATCTTTCTAATCTCAAACTCTATGTCCATTAAACAGCTCCTCTTTTCCACTTCATGCCAGCCACTTGTAACCAACATTCTACTTTCTGTTTATACCAATTTAACAACTTTACTTACCTCAAATAAATAAAATCATATATTTTTCTTTTTGTGATTGGCTTATTTCACTTAGCATAATGTCCTCAAGGTTCATCCATGTTGTAGCATGTGACAGAATCTCTCTCCTTTTTAAGGCTAAGTGATTTTCTATTGTATATAGAGACCACATTTTATTTATACATAAATCTGTGGATGAACATTTGTTCTGCTTCTACTTCTTGGTTAATGTGAAAAGTACAGCTATGAACATGGGTGGGCAAGTATTTATTCGAAACTCAGCTTTCAATTATTTTTACATATATACATGCAGAAATGAGATTGCTGTATCATTTGATAGTTATTTTTCATTTTTTTGTGGACCCTCCAAGCTATTTTCCATAGTAGTTGCACCATTTTACAATCCCTACAACAGTACAATGTTTCTGATTTCTCTATGTCCTTGCCAAAAATATTTTCTATTTTTTTTGATACCTATCCTAATGGGTATCAGGTGATATCCAATTGTACTTTTTATTTGCTTTTCTCTGATTAAGAACTGTTGAGTAAATTTTGATATGATTGTGAACATTTTTTTGTTGTTGTTGTTGAGACAGAGTTTCACTCTTGTGGCACAGGCTGGAGTGCAGTGGTGTGATCTCAGCTCACTGAAACCTTCGCCTCCTGGGTTCAAGCAATTTCCTTGCCTTAGCCCCCTGAGTTGCTGGGATTACAGATGCCTACCACCACACCAGGCTAATTTTTTGTATTTTTAGTAAACACAGGGTTTTGCCACGTTAGGTGGGCTGGTCTCCAACTCCTGACCTCAGGTGATCTGCCCGCTTCAGCCTCCCAAAGTACTGGGATTACAGGCATGAGTCACTGCGCCAAGCCCTTGTGAACATTTCTCTGACATCTTTGTATAAATATCTATTAAAGTTTTTTTCCCCTGTTAAAAACAGAATATTTGATTTTTAGATGTGTAAATAGAAGAGTTCTTTATACAGTCTGATATTAACTCTTTACAAGTATATGATTTGTAAATCTTTTCTTTTATTCTGTAGGTTGCCTTTTACACCCATTTAAGGCACAAAAGTTTAAGTTTGATGTAGTCCCATTTTTGCTTTTGTTGCCTGTGCTTTTGGTGTCATAGCCAAGAAACTGCCAGCATATACAATATCGTGTTGTTTTCCCCTTGTTTTTTTCTCAGATTTTATAGTTTTAGGATTATGTTTAGGTCTTTAAAACATTTAGATAATTTTTATATGCTGTGTGATACAAGGGTCTGATTTCTCAATATCATTTTTTGAAAAGTCTGTCATTTCACCACTGAGTGGTCTTAGAACTCTTGTTGAAGATTTGACGATTTGTGGGCTCTATTCTATTCCATTATTCTGTCCTTATCCCAGTACCACACTATTTTGACTACTGTAGCTTTGTAATATGTTTGAAATAACATATGAAGACTCTGTTCTTTTTTAAAATTGTTCTGATTATTTGGAGTACCTTGGGATCTCATAAGATTTTTAGAATATTTTCCATCTCTGGGATAAATGTTATTGAGATTTCAACAGTAATTGTGTTGAATCTGTAGATTACTTTGGATAGTATAAAAACAGTAAGTCTTCCAGTCCATAAACATGAAATATTTTCCCATTTATTTGCATCTTATTATTTTGTAGCAATGTTTGGTAAATTTTGAAATTGAGAAATCAGAAGTCCTCCAATTTCTTGTCTCTTTTTCCAGATTTTGACTGTTCTGGGCCCTTTGCATTTCCACATAAATTTCAGGATTTGTCCTGTCAATTTCTGTACATATATACACAAAGCCAGCTAGGATTTTCACAGTGATTGTGTTTAATCTGATGATCAGTTTGGAGAGTACTTCAGTGTTAACAATAAAGTTCCAGTACATGACCATAAAATATTGGTCCTCTTTTAGGGTTTTTATTTTTTTCAG